TACTCTGTGAGGCGCAGTAGTTTAGTGCCGTATCTTGTCCTGTCAGGAATGATAATGCTGGATATACTTGTCTACAGAGTGTTTGTTTTTCCGTATGTTGACTGGCTGCCTGTCCTGTGGAAGGACGGCATTGTTGGGTTTTGTACGGGTATTACATTTGCTTCCTGCCATGTTTTTGGAAAGTTATGGAAACAAAATGCAGCACTAATGATTTTCGTTAAATGTGTGACATCATCAAGAGGACGGTTCCTTAAGTCACTATTATATCGTCGTGACCTTGAGCCTTCCCTTTGGGAAGATGCTTGATTATTCGTAAAAGTTGTTTCGGTTTACTTGGGGTGTTTGTATTTGCTGGTTGCAGATGGAGAAAGGCAGCAAACTCTCGCCTCACCCCGTCTGGAGAATTTGTCGAAATTTTGCTCCTCAGGGGTTGACAGAAACTGGTCCTCGTATACCTCTGCAATTGTTATGGCTTTGTCCAGCGGTGTGTAAATGAGTCCCCTTCTGCCGTGAATTGCTGCAGTGTGACTAGTCTGATATTTGGTGAACTGTTTTGTTATTTTCCAGTCGCTATTTGGTGTGCACAATTGCATCTTAAGTACCTTTCTAAAACCTATGAATCCTGCTGTGTTTCAAGCGGCATTGTATATACAATGTATATATGTATATCTTAATAAGTTTTATTGCTTGCGATCAGCTGCTCTGTTAAAGTTCTGCATGTTCTTCGTTCCTTATCTTCTTCTTCGCACTAATTTCTCGAGATCTCGAATGGCCGAATCTCGTAGCGGGTAGCTATTATATGGTTTTGAGACTTTTTTGCTGACTTTGTTATTGAAGTAAATATGGTTATTTCAACGTCTATTTCTTCGACTGACGAGATGTTCGGTCTTCGTGGTGTCGCCTGTAGAAGACACAAACTCCGTGGCCTGTAGTCAGCAAGCGAACTATACCGACTGAGCGACCGCCGCTTGTCGGTGAAGATAGTACCAACTTTAGCGGACAGAGGGTGTCGCGTGGTCAGCGCAACGGGTAGAAGACACAGCTGACTGTAAACGGGTCCATCCTTGGTAGTGCAGTTCACGTGGTTCCAGGTCCATGACGAGTATAACTGGGTTGTGATAGGAGCTTCATTCTTCTACGGACCCAATGTATGTGGGCACTGCTGAGGTTCTTATAACGGTTATGTCGAGGACACCCGGCCGATAATTGTGGTGTGTTGGGAAATGAGCAGGGTTAGGCGAACTCATGTTGGAGAGCAAAATCGTACAGTATTCGGCCTCTGTTGTTTGCCAGACGAGAGTGCCACATGCTTGGCATGCTGTTCGGCAGCAAATATGAGGTGTTGGTTCTGCTGGGGCTGTCATGAGAAGTGGTCGGCTAGGTGGTGCGTACACAGCGCCGATTGTAAGAGTCTCTGTCTTGGTTGGAATATTTAGTGCTGTAAAGTGTGGTAGGTTTGATTTGTTGTGATGAATTGACGAATTTTCTGCTGCGTTTGTTCCTCCGTGTGATGCTCAACGTCGTGTTCGATATATGCACAGACCGGTATGTTGAAGAGTACTTCCGTTTATGAGTGCTGTAGCAATCCTATCTTTTGCAAGGAATTCGGGCAAGTTATATCGGTTGCTGAACACTTTATTTGCATTCAGAACACAATTTTATCGGCCTATAACATGTGGTTTGTCGGGTGTTAGTGGTTTTTGGTAGGTCGCACCTGTTGGGTTTGCACTGACAGAAAGACTAACCATATATTTGCATCTTTCTGTGTGATTTCATTTGAAGTGCAAGATGCAATGAATTACAAAATTATGCCAGTTTTCAGCAACAGATATGACTTTCCCTAAAGACTGGACTATATTTGTGAACTGATTCTGATGTTGCAACTCCGGAAGATGGAGGTTATTTATTAGGTAAGCTCAAAGAAGAGTTTCCGTCGTCTCTGTGGTTTGTTTATGGGAGATTTTGGCAAGAATGTACGATTTTCCTAGCGTGTGAAGTAGTCGGATTTAGTTTCCTGGGGTTATGTCACTTAACGAGTGAGGAAGTTTCAGAGAGGCTGCGCAAGTTGTTTTCTGTCAGGAAGGCGCATTCTGTTTGTGAGAAGCTAGTTGTGATCCCTGCATATATTTTGCCTTGCTTCATATCCTCTGAAGTTGCTAGGATGTTGTTTGTGACAGTTTTCACTTTTACAGGGGCCTTGTTTTGGTTTCTGGCATTCACTGGGGAAATTGTTTCCGCCGCATTTGACACATGTTGGGGCGAGATTGCAACATCGTGCTTTATGCCCGAAGCTGTGGCATCTGTTGCACTGGAATGGGCACTCAGTCCATTGTGTAGTCTTCTTTGTGTACTTCAAAATGGGAGAGTCCTATTATATCTCTTATGTTACGCGTGTTTTACTCCACTGTGTACGTATTGATATACAGGTAAGAATAGGGAGCTGCTTTGTTCTAAATTTGATTGTATATTGTTCGTCTAAGCTGTCTTACGTTAATTGCAGGATATTCTATTTGTTTTCGTGCTGTGGGCACAATTTCTGCTGTTACCTCGGAGAATAATCTTCTGAGGAGAACCTTGTGGTCTTTAGTCTCTGCTGTCTGATAAGTATGGTAATATATTTTGCTGAATTTCAAGTAGTTGGCACCAAACTTGGCCCGAACGCGTCGCCTCTTGAGACAGGTTACGAAGAATCTGGTATCACGGTTCAGGTGACGTGCGAATATGGAACCCCCAGTAAGGACATCATTTGCGTTAAGTTAGCTCTACAGTCAGCCATTAGGGAAGTCCTAAGGACAGGACTCAAATGGCCCGAACCGGGATAGCTCAGTTGGTACAGCAAATAGGCTACAGGTTTGATGGCAGGAACAGAGATATTTGCATCTCCACAGCACCCAGAGCCCACACAACCTCCTCTCAGTGGCTACCAAGGGCTCTTTCCCCGTTAGACAAGAGTCTTCAGTGTGAAGCCGACCACTCACCTACACCTAGTGTTGAGGTTAAGATTGTGTATGGCTGTACCTAACCTTCCCCGCCACGTCTGCATGGTATGGTGCTAAATCAAGCACAGGGACAAGCTAACCTTGTATTCTGAATCAGATGGGCATGCAGATAGTGCTTATTCAATGTAAATACAGCACATTTTGGAGTAACACCTCGAATTGCAAAATTTCAGCATGAGGAACTTTGTATTTGTTTTGGTTATTCGATGCAGAAAACTTAAAAGGCGGTCCTTTGCGGTACGTCATCAATGAACTCAGTGAGCTTAAAAGATAAGCAGTCTACGGGTTTTGAAGCAATTGAATTTTGACATGTGTAAGACCAATCAATTAATATGGTTTATATGATAAATAGAAAATAAATACACCAATAGCTGCAGAGTATGCAGGATACATTTTTCTGGGCCTACGAGTGTCACCGGCGCACCAACCGACACATCTGCACTCTGCCCATTCAACACTAAGTCCGCAGTGCGTTCAACAACTGTATCCATAACTCTGACCACAAAGTTAGATTGTGAGTAATGAATTGGAAAGGATTCTGGAATGAAAATACTATCCTGTGATTTGACAGGAAATTTTAACAGAAATCATGAAGAACTCGGAAAATTCGCTGTCCGGAGCAAGATTCGAACAGGGTACATCCCGAAATGTTATAGCTTGAGCCTAAATGCCCGAAATCTACACAAGAAAATCAACTGCTGGTGACGATAAAGCAGGTAACGGCTCAGAAAGACCATGACGTCAGACGCCCAATGGAACCTGTGAGTGTCAGGTGGAGGTCGGTGTGGGTTTTCGTTTTCATGGCTGTGAAGTTAAAACAGTCGTGAATCGCGATGATAACAGGAAACGCCTTCGGCAGTCTGCCGCTGATTTGGCTGCCAGAGTGGGCAGTGAAGCTTGCCTCTGGATTCTGATTTATTAATGGTAAGGAACGTCTTCATGTTTCTGTTCTGTGAAATGATAAACTGCCAAGACTGAGAACACACCCCTGTAGTACTAATCACTTGAAACTAATATTAAGGGACGAAACCGCGGGAACATATCCTGTTCGGATGTCGAGGAGTAACGAAAGGAACAATTATGAACTTCGTTCTAATCGAATAGAAAGAAAGAAACCATAACCAAACATATTATAGTGACATTAAACAATTAATGGTTACAAAATTATAACATCATTCTTATGAAGTGAATAATTTTAGAATGTTTGAAAATGCATCTGGGAAATTCACTATGAACAAGAAAGAGATTCACGATGAAGAACAAGACTGTGCTCTCAGCCATGACATCAGGCAGCGTCATATGATGCAGAGTCCTCCCATACCTTCCAGAGTATCACAGTACTGCGAAAACTTATATTCTCATAGACCTCCGGAGCTGTATAATATTCGGTGCGAGAAATGCTTTTACCTTCATCTTCAGAAGACGCTGTGAGACATAGGCATCCGTTTAACATTTTTGTCATTTCTTTTTTCTGGGTTAAAAAACGTGATGTCTTACGTTGAGATAAGAAAACACATTGCAAGTGTTCGAAACCAGGTACTCCGGAAATAATTTGGACGTGAGAATCATTAGGCAAGTGACCTGTTTAGGATATGACATGAAGAGATACCTTGTGATTTACAAATTTCTGTTACTATTGTTAATGTCATGAAATATAGGATGGTACGAAGGATTAGGAAAACCGACAAGAGAGGTTATGATGCGTACAGTACCCGTTATGAGAGCCAATTTCAAACAAGGAAGAGAAGCTGGGACGATGACAGATTGTGAGGAACCATCTAAGATTGCGGGTTTCGTATTAACGCCATCGAACCTAATGTTTCGCCTCCAGATTGTACAGTGCGACTGAATATTATTAATACTAGGCCTTCACCCAGTGCCACTCATCGGATGTACTTGTAAGAAGTGCATACGCCAGATCACTGCGTCTCGGCTCTGTTCGCCGTGCGCTCGGTAGCTACAAGTGCGACGTCGGCCCGTGCGTCAGTCACCCGCCAGCTGTCGGCAGAGGTTCGTCTGTGTTTTGCAGAGCGGCTGCACATCGCGTGACCCTCCCCTCGCGAGATGCGCCCAGAATTGCGCGTTCGGTGTAAATGCATTCTAACATGACTCAAGTTTTGTGAGTACTGAACTGTTCTGAGACGTTGACACGAACTTATAAAAGTGACATGGTAACACATTTATCTTTTAAAGAAGTGCTTCAAGTTTAATTGGAGCACCGAAAATACCAAACGCACAAACAGTGTGATCACTACTGCATACAGGCCCGAACTTGAATACAATTTTATTCACGCACAATGCCTAAACTTACGTATTGTGATGAACTGTACTACTTTCAAGCGTCATGAGTTAAAATGGACAACAGTAGAGAATTTGACTGGTTTTGTTTTGCATCGTTCAGTTGAGAGTCTGTATAAAATTTCAGGGAGAGTAAAATCTGCAGGATACGAAGTGAACGTAGTCAGATGTGTCCTTGCTAAGTTCATGTGAAATTTTACAGGGTTTCATTCCAAACTCAGCAGTTAATTCGTAATTTAAAATTAGCGTAGGAATTTTCTGCGTACTAATACACAGTTTAATGTTAATATTATGTTATAGGTTGTCCATTTATGAATGTTACAGCTGTAATAGAAACAGTAATATCTTCGTGATTGTAACTGTTGTCAGTCGCTGCGAACATCAAAACAACTCGCTTCTTTTTCTCTTGTGATTTCGAAGCGATAATGTTCTGAAATTTGTGTTGTGCAACTTATGTGAAGTTAAATTTTATAGTTCATTTTGTGTTTTTGATCCTGTGATTCCGTCAGTCGCAGCGGAACTTCCGATCACTACCGAGGAATCTGGGAGTGAATATAATGAACACATTTGAAGAAAGTGGCAGGTGTGACAGGACGCTGATAGGGTCTTACTGAAGGCAGATTACTTGAAAAACAGACATGATTAACATTACCTCCAGTTTGTTACCAGAGACAACAGGCTCTTTGCTGCCTTCTGAATTGTTTGAATCTGTGATGGCCAACACTACAGCCATGATGGGTAACGTATCATCACTTATACCCACATCACCATCCTCAAAACACAACATCACCGAATTCTCAGACTTCATAGCGTCTTCGAGTCTTGCCAGTGAAGTTACGAACATTTCTGTACCGGGACCACATCTTGATTATGAAGACAATTCTACAGACAACTGCACCAATGAGTACTGTGTGTCTGATGATGATTATCTCTCTATGATAGAGAATCACATATTTCCTACAACGTACGAGTGGGTCCTAATTGCTTTTCATACTGTAGTTTTTCTGGTCGGCTTGATAGGCAATGCGTTGGTCTGTGTGGCCGTGTACAGAAATCACAGCATGAGAACTGTCACAAACTACTTCATCGTGAACCTCGCCGTGGCTGATTTTATGGTGATCTTCTTCTGTCTCCCACCTACTGTTGTCTGGGATGTCACGGAGACTTGGTTCATGGGGACTGCTCTCTGCAAAATAGTCCTCTACTTCCAGGTACGCAGTTCGTTTGCTACTATGCTATATTCTTATTTGTGTGACTTACTGCAGGGGGCGCGTCTTCATTTTGTTCTAGAGAGAAACTTGTTGGGCAAGTTTACAGTCTTACACATACGAATTCTACCTAAAGTTACTGGGTCTGAAATTCTTACGAAAATGAGGCAAAGAAACAAAAAAGAGTTAGGAATTTTCGCCGAAAACACCGAAGGAAAGGGAGGTGTTGCTGATTGATTTGTTAGATTGTGGTTTCAACGAAGCCACTATCAACTCAGATCATGTGGCGTCAGATGGTTGGATGGCGGGTAAATAATTAACTGTAAACCATATGGTCGAATTTGAGCTGTTATCCCAGAATCTGCCTGGAGGGGCTGAGTAACGGAGGCGTTAGTCAGGATAGCTGTGACAGTGACTCTCCACACTGAGGTGGTCGCGGTCTTCCTCAGTCCATCAAGGCAGGTGCTGCGTTGAAACCCTTACTAGGCCCCAAACACTTCTTTCGAAATACTTTTCTGTTGATCGGGTAGGACTATCAACTTTCTTGCCATTCATCACTAAGTAGGTTTCGCAACTGACAGCGCCGCAAAATAGCCCAGAAGGAAAACCTAGGCTTTGGGGGGCCTTGTTAGGAATAGACGCAAATAAAACAAGCGTAGGCCTTACATTGTTTTCGGATTTAATCATTTTCAGTTACTCTATTCTCACGTCACTTCTTCTCATATTGCTAACATCAATCACGCTCCTTTTGGTAGGCTTGGACGCTCCAGAAGTGTTTAATTTCTTTAATTTCACGAGAGGCTGGAAGGCCCAGACTGGGGCAGACTCTGACGCGGTGAGGTTGCACACGAAGACAATTTATGACAATGCAATGCCGGGAGGTCGGCCGCAAAATGGTGGGACAAACTCTGAGCTCGTGTGTTCATGTCTCTGTTTTTCATAGATTATGTAACGACGCTTCCAGTATTGAGAACGTATAGCGTGGATACTAAGATGACTGACCCATGACGAGTTGGAGGCGATATTCAAGGAAGCGGTCGTGGCTTAATCGAGGTAATGTCCTGGAATTCTCCTGGAGGGACTGAGGAAGACATTAAATACCTCAGACAGGATAGATGGTCCCCTGACGAAGATTTTAACTGAGCAACTCCAGAGTGTAACCGTTGGACGAACCTGTGAGGTCGTGTTCATATCTTGCCACTAGACTGTAGGAAAGAGCCGCAATACAGCACTGGAAAATGCGACACTGTAAATATTTAGGAATGACGACAACAAATCAAAATGAAGTTCTACAAGAAATTAAGAGTAGATTCAATTCAGGGAGTAAGAGCTACAGTTTTGTTGAGAATTTATATTTCCGTCAGTCATCTGTAAATTGGAATATGAGCTGATGTTCTTTATGATTGTCAGACTTTGTCTTTCTAAGTCAAGAACACAGATTGGGCATGTTTGGAAAAAGGGTGCTTGCAAGTATATTTGGACCCAAGAGGAGAGAAATGAGAGGAGGGTTGATGAAGTTATGTCCTCTGGAGCTTCACAATTTTTACTAATCATAACTATTATTATTATTATTATTATTATTATTATTAAGATCAAGGAAGATGAATTTCGATTATTATGATAAATGACTGCGAATTGTAGTTGGAAAACCAGAACGAAGGAGAGAGGTTGCGAATATGTAAGGGCGATGTAACGCTAGAGAGAAAGTTGTGCTTAAGCAAATCAAGTGATTTAAATCTGCAGGTACAGATCTTTAACGAAATTTAATATCCGTGTCTGCGTCCGTGCAAGCATACTGCCTTAAAGTTTTAACACAGTGTCAGGCTTAAAATTAACGGAAATTTTATAAAAAAATATTGTCTATTCTTAGGTTAGTTCATCAGGTTTTTTTTCCCCCTTGGCACTACAGCCCCAGTGGGCCTAGGCCTACCTCCATGAACTTCTCCGTTCACTTCGGGTTTTCTCGATCTTACACATACGGTAGGACTCCTTGGGCGAGTGATCAGCTCGTCGCAAGGACTCTACCTGTAGACAAACAGAAAAACGCACACAAACATCCATGCCCTGAGTGGGATTCGAACCCACGATCCCGGTTTCCAAGCGAGCGAAGACAGTGCATGACTTAGACCGCTCGACTACCGCGACCGGCAGTTCATCAGGTTAGGTTACGGATTATTTTATCGTACATTTAAACCACACCTGTCCATCCATACTTGTAAACGAACTTCGGAAACACTCAGGTGCATACCAGTTGATCCAGTTCAGTAGGACGTGACGATTCTGGAGCCGAAAATATATTTTATTTCTTTATTTTTTGACGTTCTTAACAAGGCTGTCGGACTACACACCTCCAAGCGGCAAGATGACTGGTGAACAGTGAATTGGAAATAAACGTGGAAGAAAACGGCCATGGATATTCCGGGATTTGCGTTGAGAATTTCGGCAAAAATTATCTGTCAGAATGTCATCATCCGGGCGGCATCGAACAGGGCCCCTCAGGAATGCAAGACTAGAAATGTTACTGCTTTCAGGATCATTCTCGGCACAGTCGTATAAATTACTAAATTGGAGTATGAATATACTCGTAATGTTCAGCCACTCTCAGAGCATGCCGTTCTCTATCCCAAGAAGGGCCAATATCCTATGTAGAGTAGTTCTGGCGTAGATCTTAACCAATTTCAGCCTTGAATTGCGGATGCTGTAGTTAACAGCGACAGTCATAAATATTCTCAGCTAAATAAAAACATTTGGGAACCGTTCACAAAGTCTTCTCTGAACATTAAATGTTAGAATGAAGGTGCAATCTTCTGGGCTGTAAAGCAATGCACAGCTCGACATTTCGAAGCAATATACCGCCACCATTTTCAGGGTTGAAGGATAAGCAAAGCAAGAAAGCAGTAGAAACATATTTAGCTTGCCACATTTCTCGGCTTTTTCCTTCATTCCTTACCTTTCGACCTTAAAGGTGGAGGCGATATGTTGCCCCGAAACTTCAGGCTGTCTCCGCACTACACGGCGTTGCAACAGAGAAGCTCGTACTCCTTGTGGTCACAGCCGCAAGGACCTGAAATCCAACAAAGTATGAACTTCTTTATGCCTTAAATTTTGCCTTACGTTTTATACTATCAAGGTGTAGACCGACTGAGCTGTCCTGAGTCTCATTGTTGATACGACCTTCTTTCAGGTCTGCAAGCACTTCCATTTCCCCGCGGCCTGTAATATATAGGTAAATAAGCGCCATTAATTCATTTATAGATCTCTGATTCTTAATCCCCATTGCTACTTCAACATGAACATTTTCCTGCTTACTCGCTACCGGCTCCTCAATACTGTCACGTGTAAGGGAATGAGTGACTAATAACTGTGGGCTCTAGTAATGAAGATCGGATTTATCGGACGTCTCTATTACAATTACAGTTGATTATAACAGTTCACACATTGAACTCCTTCCTGAGAACGAGTGTCTTCACTGATGCCTGGAACTTGGAGAGTCTCTAGTCTCTCGAATCCTCCCAGTTCTCCCCTGCTGTACTCTGATCTCTACTTCACTGCCAGTCCAATTCTCTGAACTCATCTCTGATCTAATCCTAGCTACAGACTGTCATTATACACATTGTGTCCAGATTCTGTTAGGACTGTGTCCATTAAAAATACAAGACGTGAGCTGTTTTCAAAATTTCACTCTTTTTATTTAAAATAGTCTCCTTCTGAATCAATACATAGCTGGAATTATTGAAAAGTTTTCGAAAACAGTCACTGTACTCCTTTTGTGGAATCGCATTTAAAACTGCGGTACATTCCCTATGGCTGTCCTGGATGGTGTCGTGACGGTCTCCTTTCATCGCCAACTTAACTTTCGGGAACAACCAGAAATCTCCTGGAGCCAAATCTGGCGAATACGGAGGATGATCAAGGACTGTGATCCCTTTTCTGGCCAAAAAATTGTGCATGATCTTCGATTTGAGGGTGGGGCATTGTCGTGGAGGAGCGACCAGGAACCTTGCTCTCGATATTCAGGTCGAATTCGAAGAATTCTCGCCCACAAACGATTGAGGACACCGAGGTAATAATAAGAATTCATTGTTTGATCTTCTGGCAGAAATTCCTTGTGAATGATTCCTTTGGGATCGAAGAAAACGGTTAGCAGTGTCTTTACTGGACTCTTTTGTATGCGCGCTTTCTTTGGGCTCTACCACGCTGTACTCTGCCGCTTTGTGAGAGGCTTATATTGAAATCACCATGTCTCGTCACCACTAACAATCGATTATGAAAATTTTGTTTCACTTTGGGCCGACCTTAACATGTCTTTGCAGTGTACCACTCTGGCATGTTTTTCATCGCCTGACAGAGCGTGCGGTACAAACCGCGCACAGACCTTCCGTTTGCCCAAATCCTTGGTCAAAATTTGATGCACCGTACTTTTTGGTGTTCCCAAAAGCTCCTCGATATGTTTTGCAGAAACACATCTGTCTGATGCAAGGATTTCGGTCACTTTTCTCACATTTTCTTCATTGCGACTTTTCTGGGCTTTGATGCACGTGGAGCGTCTTCAGTGTCCTCCCTGCCGTCACGAAGTACAGCATACCATCGAAAAATGTTCGAGCGACTCAAACAATATCGCTACCGTACACACTTCTAACTTCAAGCAAAATATGATGTTTGCTCTCTGTTCAACGGCCATTTTCCGACGAGCTTCAGCACAGTACTATTACATTCAAGGTCATAACACATGACGCAACGATGCTTGCGCTTTGAAATTATAGACAGCCACAGCTGAAACTTCAAGAATCTTAACTCCACAACTTGCCAACAGATGGCATTGCAGGGCAAAAAAAAAAAAAAGGGTCAGACGGATCCTGGACACACCGTGTATAGACTCCGCACGGACCACACAGAAAGCACGGCCTCAATTTTTGATGAAGCTTGTTTACCGCCCTGTTGCCTAGCAATAGAGGTCCTATTGTTGCGTGCTAGTGTCTTGCGGGGATGTTTATAGACCTGCT